CTGCTGGCGGCGGCCTCCCTTGCCCGCGGGGGCGGGAGCGGGCGGCCTGTGAGGCCGCTCCCCGCGGGGCAGCTCCTGTCAGCTGCCTTCCCGCTTCCCGCCGCCCGCTCACCGCCGTTCCCTCCCTCCTTCCCTCCCTCAGGACAACCGGACCGCGCTGCACTGGGCCTGCTCGGCGGGACACACGGACGTCGCCGACCTCCTCCTCGGCCTCGGCGTGCCTGTGGGCGACAAGGACGATGTGAGTGCCGCGGCCCTCCCGGGACCCCCCAACCCTGTGAGGGGCTGGGCCGCGGGGCTGCTGCCGGGGGGCTGCGAACCGGTGTGCGTGGGGAATTCGGTGGCGCGGTTTCTGTCCGGGCCCTTTGCCGTCAGGTTTCAGCCGCAGAAGTGCCCCTAGCAGCGGCCCGGCCGCCCTGAGGGCAGCGCCCGGCGCTGGTCCCTTCCTTCCTGTTCTCCCTCCTCCAGTCAGCTGGTGTGTCCAGTGTGGTATCTGGGAGGCTTTAAATACTACTGTGTGGGGGCTAGAAGGGCAAGTTGAAGTATTTCACTGCCTATATGGAAGAGGGGGTAACGAGACTTGATGAGTCTTGCTTATTGTCAAGGAATTTTAGGAGAACTCTTCTTACGAACAAACTTGCAAAACCAGGGGTGTTTGGGTTGTTGTCGGGGGTTTTCACATTACCTGTATGTAGGTGTGATGCTCTTAAATATGTTGTGCCAAATCATGAGGTACCCTGAAAACGTCTCATTGTTGGGGAAGGCATTATAGAGCAGGTGACAGGTGCAGTGGTTTCACAGTTGGAAAGGAGATGGTCTGTTACTGTTCTAGAGAAAGGGTTGAAATAATTACATCCGTTATGAAGCATCCTAAAGGTCATCCTTAAAGAAGGAAATGTTGTCCCATCAGTTTAATTAGAAGGTAGGATATGGAAAAGATTGCAGAAACTTTTGGACACCCTTTTCTGCCACTCTCATTTGTTCTTAAGAAAGCACTACTGTTACTTCTGCAGGGGCAAAGTGCCTTGCAAGATACCATGCATAACAGAAGTGATTTCTGTCGTTTAACTGGCAGCTTTTGTCCAGTGCTGAATGCAGGCCCGTGAGAGGATGTGAGGCTTGTCTCTCTGGTGATAATCAATAATGTGTAGCTTTACAGTTATAGCAATATGTGCAGTATGACTAATGAGTAGTCAAGTCTGTATTGGGGTTATGCTTTGTCATGTTTTTTTCCTGAAACTGCGGGTTTGAATAACATGGGTTTTTTCTTGCCACTGTAGGCTGGTTGGACTCCCTTACATATTGCCGCTTCGGCAGGCCGTGATGAAATTGTGAAAGCCCTCATTGCCAAGGGCGCTCATGTAAATGCTGTCAATCAGAACGGCTGTACGCCCCTGCATTATGCAGCCTCCAAAAATAAGCAGGAGGTATGTTTGCCTATGCTGCTGGAGGTGGTGTTGCTCTTGGAAGAAGTATTTAGTTGTATTAACTTTTCCTCCTCCTCCCTCCCTCCTTTCTCTTTCTACATATTCAGATTGCAATCATGCTTTTAGAGAACGGAGCCGATCCGGATGCAACAGATCATTTTGAATCCACCCCATTACACAGAGCAGCAGCCAAAGGGAACCTAAAAATGGTACAGATCCTTCTGCAGCACAATGCGTCTGTTGATATACAGGACTCTGAAGGGAATACTCCTCTGTAAGTAATTTTTTATTTTTATTTTGCTTAATATAGCATAAGCTCTATGAGATGAAACTCCGTGACTGCCATTTCTTTTTTTAATTTCTCGTTGCCTCAGAATACTCCCTTGCTTCACACCCCTATGTAATTAAAAAGGATTTGAGAAGATCATACTTAGTATTTTGCCTAAGTGTGTCTGTACATACATACTTTAATTTGTGTTACTACATCTACTTAAAAAGCGTAGAGCACCTTTTGTAATAATTTGGAATACATTTGGTTGCCACTAGAGGGTAGAAAGTGAGCTAATGACATCAGAGTTGGAGGAAACTGGTCTTGCAGGCTGGCCTACTCTGTCCTGCCAAGCAAGAGCTAATTTTGGAAGCTTTTCTTCACCTCTCTAAGGAAAATAAGTTGCAATTTAAGTACAATCGGTCCAGTGTTTGATATTACCTTACAATTTGAATCTGTAAGGGTAAAACCTTAGCTGCTTTGAAGTTCGTGACAAAACTTTGCCTTGTCTGCAGTGGAATCAAGATTTTGCTGTGAATAAGGTCAAGCAGTATGTTTTATCTGTTCATAAACCCCAGTATTGTCCTGGAACACACACATTTATTCTCAAGATACCGTGCCAAATAGAAAAAAGCGTTTGCTGCATTTGCAGTAACTCTTTACTTCAGATTATTTTTAAGCATCATATGGTTTAGTTTATCACTTTCGATTCAAATAGAGATTACCATCTTCCAGTTTCGCTGTGGATTATGTGCTCCTTAGCTTTGCTGACTGCAGAGCCAAATCCTAATCTAAAGAAGTGTCTTAATGTTGCGAGGACAATAGCAGGTTCTTGAGTTGCTTAACGACAACAGAGTGACTGGACAGCAAGGTTTGCAATTTGTGTAGGTAGTTGGCTGCATGTGGTTTTGTTGTTCTAGGATGTGTCTGCCCCCCCCCCCCCCAACATGGCTGTGGGTTTCTTGTTCTTATTACAGTCATTTAGCCTGCGATGAAGAGAGAGTGGAGGAGGCAAAGCTGCTGGTGTCTCACGGTGCAAGTATTCACATTGAGAATAAAGAAGAACTGACCCCACTGAAAGTGGCAAAAGGTGGCCTAGGAGCCATACTTAAAAGAATGGTGGAAGGCTAGTGGGAACTTCTGACTTGAGTCTCTTTCCTGTTGCATTTGTATTTAAGACTGCGAACTTCATATTTTGATAGTTCAACTAGGATATCATGTATCGGCATCGGCATGGATAATAAAATTTGTATCTCTAGCTTTCCTTCCAGTACAGTGCCAAAACAACCGTTTGTGCTTCCTGCTAATTAAACAGTTCACTGATTTTAAGGTATTTTTCACGATGTTGCAGTTTTCTTTCAGCTTACAGTATGATCTGTATAAATGCAGTCATTCCTTCTATTTCACAGCCTAGTTTAGGATTATTTCTTTCAAGCAACAGGACCAAAAATGCTTTAACCATTTAAAGTCAGTTTTAGTTTGGAAGCTTATTCTAGAGTCTTTGTTTTTTTCCCTTAGCCTTTGTGGTTTGTGTCTGGTTTTTTGTTTTGTTTTTGTGGGTACTGATTCTCTGCCTTCAAATGATCTAAACTACACCTCTCCCTTTGTAGAATGCAGTTTGCTTGGTTACTTAGCTAATTGTATCCATTTTTACTTTTCTTAGTCTAGTCAAGTGAGCTCTGAGTGTTTAAAGCTTTTCTGTTGTTATCTATTGTTATACTGTTTCTTTGAATCTTTAAATATATGTATTTGATGAAGTGCATTGGACTGCTTGCAGAATGCAGGTGTAGTTTCAGAGTTACCTCTGCAGATATACTATTATAGAATGGATGGCTCTCAATACTTCTCTGGGATGTGCTTCGAATCTGGTTTTATTTCCTCTTGCTCCTTCCGTAGATTTCTTTTTTTCTGTTCTGTTTGACTCCCATTATGTAGCACTGACGCTTGCAGTTTACCATCTTGTTCTATAACAGAAGCCTGGTTTAATCTCTATTTACTCATAGCAAATCCTGGTATTAAGTTATTAGAAGCAGAGCTAATGAGACTGGGTCTGAAAAGTGACCTTCTGTTCTGATGTTGGTAAGATCACTTTTGACGCTAGTGGGATAGATCTCCCCTTTCTGAACAAATGATGCTGATGAAATCACGTGAAATAAAGAACTTTCCTAAACAGCAGTCTTTTGGTGTTATAAAACTTTAATAAACTTAAATGTAACAAAAACAATATTTTCTAAATAGCTTGTACGCTTGGGATGTGAACAACAAGTCAGATGAAACCCTGCCATCCGTTACACAGTGTGGAAATAGAACGTGTTTGTTCTTCAGCTGCAAGGAAAGATTGAAATGGAAGATGACAATTTCTACAGTTTGGCTTGCAGGGATTAAGGTAATGCAATTTATTTTGATAAGCAAGGCAGAAACTTACAACCAAACAAATATCTTCACCAAGTACTTGTAAGTCTATCCTAGAAAGCAAAATGCAGGTTAAATTTCACTGAGGGTACCTGTTGAGAGCAGGAGGGATAACTTGCCTGTACAGTAAGCTCTGGCCATGCAGACCTTGCTTGAAGGAGGAACCTGACTGAGTAAACGTTTCTTAGATTTTGCGCAGGCACTGCTGAAAACTTGAGAAAAGCTGCAGTTAGAATTCTGTGTTCATCCTTGATCTTTTTATAGCAAAAAAAAACCCCTGCCACAGCTCTGTAGCTTTGTAAATCCACTTCCCTAGGAGATGGTGGCTTGAATGTTGGCTTAATATCTGGTTTCCATATTAATGATCCCTCCGCCCTCAGGAGAAGATAAATGGGCCATGCAGCAAAGATTGTCGGAACATCTGAGGCAAATTCTGAAAAACGTTTCTGCATCCTGCATAGCTCTGCGGGGTTTTTGAGCTACACACCGTGGATCAATACCTAACTTGGCTTGTGCTTTGCCAAGAGCATCAGTGGAAAGCTAGGAACAGTGCCCCATCCTTTTTAATAAAGTATTTCACATGAGAGAAACTTCATAATGAGAACATCTGCCAGAAGGCTTACAAAAATATCTCAATATGTTAAACTCCAGATAAATGTTATTTTCCTTACCTTCCTCCTCACCCTCAGAAATCTGTTTTGTTTCTAATTTTTGCTTTTTGGTTGTTGTTTTTTTTTTTTTTAATGCTATCTGTTACACACTGGTGGCTAGACGTATGAGAGGAATTATTAGTCTAGAACTTGTGTTCAATTGTTCTTTCTTTTTACATAAAAACATTAACATAACTTGAGCAATTTCTACTTTTTTAGCAAATGTAAGACCTGTGATGGTCTAGGAAGATTGTATTAGCTATAGAAAGTAATTCCAACTTCACCAGCATAAGCTCTTATCTTACTGTAGCAAGTTATATAAGGAATACATGCAGAGAAATTTGTGGAAGTGAGATTAAGGAAAGATTATAAAATTATGATAATGACCATGTAATATATTCCCCCTTTCAATCATGATAGTGCTGTTGCAGAGATGTGAAAGTTGGAAAGCGGTTGCAGTAAAAAAAATGTAACTAAGACACATATATACAGGAGATGGCTTTAGAAGAACTAATACAACTACAGCAGTGTCGTGAAGAGAGTTGTTTATATTTTCCCATGAAGGGCAAGAGTAAAAGAATGCCTGGGAATGTCTGAGAAGAAATTATTTAAAATTAATGCCACTGCCAGCCAAGTTGTGTGCTCCCTTGGACCAGTAATTGATTTGGATTACCTCATTAGGAAACCCCTTTGGTAAGAAATGGCACCCAAACAGGAGTAGGGAGTCCTTACTCTTCTCTTGCTGTTACTGAGCATGCTTAGTGTCGTAGTTCTGCATGCTTACAAAACTTTGGGTGTGAATATCAGAAATTTTCAGTAAACTTCTAAATCTAGATTGAGGGATGCGAGTTTGCAGATTTTGCTTAGCACAATTGCCACAAGAGTCAATAAGAGAGATGCTTCCATAGAGGTCATGACTTAAGGTTTACCCTGGATATTCTGGGGAGAGGGGAATGTGAGGATCCACTGGTAGAATATGGCAGTGTTGGTATTAGTAAGGGTTTGACCCTCACAGTCTGGCACAAGCAGTTTTTAGCTAAAACAATATTATAAGAACACTGTAAAGGCTCTTTTACTCTGGAATGAGGCTTAACACTAGGATGCATGTATCAAAGACAAATATTTGAAGGCCAGAAAACTGCATAGAAAGGGCAATGAATACAGTTATGCATAATGATCCACACTGAATCTTAATTAGGACCTTATGCTTTACATATTTAAATGTTGCCTTTTTTTTTTTTTGTGGTCACTTTCTTGAAAAACATACTTATAGCTGTAGGAACTGAACCTGAAAATTTTAGCACAGATGTATCCTTTTTTCTATTTTAAAGATGACTGTTGCATATAACTAATGTTTACAGGCTAGGAACAGTCACCAAAGGGTTTATGAACATTAGATCCTATAGAAGACGTAAGCGCCAAGAAGTTCCAGATGCTTGAGCCAGATACACTTTTCTGCAGTGCACGAGACTGAAACCAGAGTCTCCTTGTGTCAGTCGATATCTGCCTGATGTAGTTCAGAAGGGAGCTGCTGAGGCTGTGTGTCTGTATTCACCTGAGCCCTGTGGTCCTTGAGCTCTTCTGAAAGTAGCTATCTTTGCCCTTTCGAAGAACTGAGTTTGCTTCACCTTAGAAACGAGGCCCAGAGAGAAGGGGTGTCTAGTGATCAGAGTGTATGTGGTTCAGTTCCCTTTCCTCCTTCCAAGAGAGTGCTCATGACTCAGCTGTTGGCTATTGGTGTGGATTCACTACTTATCTTTCCTCTTGATGCTTTCACCTATAGAAAAGAGTCAGTTACACTGGGCTAAAGAGACCAGAAGAAAAGTAGCATGAGTTTGTTGCTTAGTGGGTAGGGCAATTGCCTGGAAATAGATTTAAATCATCTCAGGCAGAGGAAGCAATTGAAACTATGGTGTTGTATAGTAGGCAGTATTCACTTCTAAGTTTTGAAAGCAGCTGTATCTGCACGTCATGAGGAATCTGATACTCTGTGTGCCTGTTACGACAAGCCTTGCAAGGGATTTAGATTTCCAGCTCCTGTTTGGAAACCAGTCAATCGATGTCTGAACTGGGTACCTGAATGCTAGTTCCATTAAACTGAAAACCAGAACTGCTGGGACACACAACTCTGGAATGCTGGTGCCTTGGGAACTCTAAAGCCAAGAAGGTCACTGTTAACAACATGTATTCCACGTCAGGCAGCAACAGGGTAAAAGTTTCCAGGATCTTTTTTTTAGCTTTAAGTGGAATTCAGACACACAAGATTTCATTAGTCCAGGTCTTAACATCAGTTTCTGCACTCTGATGACATTGATGAAACTTCTTTTTACTTCTGACGTGCAAAATCAGATCACTGCAGTGTATTGGCCATGATGATTGTTCTTGGTGCACAGGAAACACGGCGTTGGCCAACGCTGTTTCTGGAGAAGACTGCTGTGGTTCAGAACTGTGTGGATACCCACAGCATTACTGATAGTTGACTGGAAAGCTCTTACTTTATCAAATGCTTCAGCCCATTTCCTACTTAGTTTTGCAAAATAGGTTGGATAAATGTGGATGATAGTCTTTTTATACTTATATTTATGTATAACTAGATAATAAATGAAATATGGTTAACTTTAAAGGCCAAATCTTCTGCTATTCACAAAGTGCATGTGTAACAGACCTTTTTCAATCTCTAGCCCAGTGGTTCACAATACAAATGCCCGTTTAAGTTTTAGTCATGCTTCTACGTTAATTCAATGACAACAATTTTTGCATAAAGGGGTTCAAAGCTGACAAGGAAAACTCTGTTAAAACTCTAGGCTATTTCTTCTTTTTCTGCTTCTTGCTTCTCATCGTTCTCAGGTGTTCCAGAGGCTGCCGTTCCATCAACACTAGCGTATTCATTTGTCGCATTGCTTGGTGGAACTGTGGTCACAGGAATGTTTTCTTCATTAGGTACCTGAGCATACTCTGCATTGGATTGTTTCTGAGCCATTTCTCTGCAGGAAGACAGGATGAGGATTGTGATTTCATGTGTTGAAATCCCATCTACACTAGAGTCTTTCAAAAGAATGAGTCTTTGTAGTTTTGTTGTCTAAACAGTAACCCCCTTATTATTATGATTCTGTCCAAGAGCACCTGAAAAGGCTACAACATCACTGCTGCTAAGACAGAAAGAGTGACAAAAGTGTGAGATAATAATACTGATCTGCATCACTGGTTTAAGTGATCCCATTAGAATAAAATGGATTTTAGTATGTTTAGATGCTAGGCCAGGAAAGCAGAATGGGAAACTGAGCGCTGGCAAACAGTGTCTGAGAAGCGGTAGCAAAACACACTGCTTGGTGTGAGCTTTCTGAGATCCAGTGTCCCATTCAAGCATGTTAAAAATAGAGTGCAGTCAGAAAAGAGCTATGAAAAGGCTGAAATCTAGAAAAATATTTTTAGTAACAGGTATGAATTCCATTTATCTTACCAAAACAATAATAAACTAACTCCTGATATTTATGCACTTTCACATATAAAAAATATCAGATGCTAGTGGATTAATTCCATGTAGTAAGACTTATTAGGATCCGAGCACAAAATTAGATGTTAATGCTACATCAGCTGAAAGCAGACATCAGGTGCATGAGTGACTGGCCACGGGGCTGGATTAGCAGAACTCCGTATCAGGAAGTCTTAGACCTGTGCTACAGGCAAGTGTCCAGATGACATAATATTTTTTTCTGGCCTCAGCTGCATGTATTCATTTAGCATTTAACATCATGGGGCTAAATACAATCTGTATAGCATATGAGATTATCCCTATTCTGAAGATTTGGCAATTTAAGGGAAAAATGAGCAACCGATGCACAGAGGAAAAGAAATTGCCAGAGCAGGATCAATATGGACATCCTGGGCTCCATTCTGTTGCCTAAACCTTGTGTCTCCTGCCATTTGAGATACCTTGGAGTATCCCAAGCGTGTGTCCAGTGATTTTAAATAGCACTGAACTGAGCCCTCTCTGTTTAAATCCAGTAACGTACGATCCCAGTAAATTTGCTGAGGCAACCCTTAGCTGCTATTTCTTTCTTTACTTCCTCCACCTGCCATTAACAGTCACCATTAACTTTTAAATATTAAAAACTGTTTTTTCCAACTTGCCACTTCTAGTTTGTGTTGTTTAAAAAAAACATTTACTTTACTATTTTAGATACTGCTACGTGGTAGCTGCCTGTAAACATAGGGAAGGAGGTAATGGCAACTTCTGTTACAAGAGCAACAGTTTAAAAGTCACACAAAAGCAAATATTCTCACTCTGGAAGTTTTCTCAAAACCTGTATTATTTACCCTTCAAAAAATGTTTAGAGTAATTGCATTTTACTTTAGTTCTGGATTATCAGCAGTGCTTTACAGAAATAATTGTCTTAAAATGAAGCAAACAGAAACTCTTACTGCATCTCATTTCGTGGTGACCTCTTATTCTTTGCCTTCTTGGTTAAGACCCAGACGATAATGCAAATGATCGCAGCTGCCACAATTGCTCCAATCAAAGCTCCAGCAACAATACCACCGTCTGAATCTGGAAAGAAAAAAAGAGTACTTGACTTTTTAAAAGGTATTATTATAGCAAAATCTCAAGGAAATTTAGTGGAGGAGCCTTTAGCAGAAAGAAGGCATTGGATTCAAAGAACTAAAAAACTGACTGACAGCTGTATTTCCAGGAGGGAGGCCAAAGACTCTGTAGGAAAGAGAGAACTGTGCTCTTATGACCTTTATTGCCTCCTTTCTTGTTGGTTAGCTCCCTACCCCAACAAACCCTGGGTTTATGCCTGGCTAAGGGAACCATTAGGCTGTTAACACTGGCAGTAGTTGAAAGCCTTTGCTCTTCAGTCCTTGCAAACAAATTCTGAAATTCAGGTTGCCTTTATCTCTGTCTTTCAGTTGAGATGTAAAATGTATGCTCTGATGATTTGGGAGCCCCCAAAACATTCTGTTTCCACTTCAGTACAGCTTCTAGCTCTGACCTGTGATTTTCATTTTATAGACCACCGAGTAGAATGACCATTTCAGGGACATCTCTCGTGGCTGGTTATACAACATATGCTTGGCTCTTGTTGAACGTTACTGGTTACATGAAAAATCTGCATGTGGATGTGGTTGACCACGGCTTGAGGGCAGTCAGGATAAGGTATTTTTCCATGACTGCAGTATTTTTAGCTAGTGGTCACATCTACAGTGCCCCAGTCCTTGTACTACCACATTTCAGTGACGGCTGTAAATTCCGGGGCAAGAGGACCTCAGTCGGACTGTTGGCTGGAAGAAATTGCTCTAAACTCCATGTCTGTCCGTTGTCAGTAAAGGCTCTGCAGTCAGAGCCAGGCTCAGCTCCTGTTCCCAGTGGGAAATGAAGCTGGAGATGTTAAATCAGTCGTCTAGGTCAGTGTAAACTCTGGGCATGCCTGGATGAAAACTCCGGAGCTCTCCAAAGCCTCTTCTGTTCTTACTTGAAAAAAAATGTATTCTTTAAGGTTGTTACAGCATTTTCCTGCAAACTGTGCATGTCATCCGTCAAATATGTGATTACTTTCATGCATTAAACTTACGTTTTGCAGTTAGGTCGAGCTCACAGGTGCTGTTCCCCAGGACGTTGCTGGCTATGCACCGGTAATACCCAGTTTCAAAGGTGGTGAGATTGCCAATGTAAAGAATGCCAGTGTTTGGATCTGTGACAAAGAGAGAGCGGGTACAGATTACCTGTTGGATACTGTAGAGGCAAACCATTTTCTTTAGTTGGTAATAGTGAGAGCTATTCAGAGATTAGAATCGGGGTTCATTCATTTGGGGTTTTTTATATTCTTTAAATAAAAACCGTTTACCTTCCTTGAAAATTACTACAGTGGATTCTGCAGGAGAGCATTAGAACATGAGAAGTAGGCCCCTACTCTGCAAATCAGTTTGTCTGTCTGATGTTTTACCCACATTGATACTATTGTCAGTGTAACTTCACAAATGAAAATGGAACAGGTACTGAAGATTTTCAGGATGGAGGTCTTAGCACCTGAATGACAAATTGACTGAGCTTACTTTGAGCATAAGCTCCCTCAAAATTCCAAGGGAAGGGAGATGTAAAAGCATAAACGTTTCTCCCATTTCAACAATTTAAAGTAATGGCATAGACAAGACTTTAACATGCCACACAATTTTTATTGAAACAAATAGAAAAAACATCCTGTTTGTGACAGCTGTCAGTTGACTTGAATAAGTAAAAATACGATTTTGTGACACTGACCGTCAGGAGAGGAGGATAAGTTTTAACTACCCTATGTGATACACAGTGTTTGAAATGGCTGGTACTATGGAATTCCAGATCTTGAACACGGTATGGCAGTCCTGTAGTTACGTACTAAGTTGTTCAGTCACAGGCTTGAGGCTATTCTCATCTACTTTGTACCAGTGGTAGGTAGGGCGAGGCAATCCTTCGTCACATTTGCATAAGAGGTAGATTAGATGGCCTTTTTCAGGCGTTCCTTCTATTTTGCAGAAAGGTTTTGACGGTTTGACTGTAAAATAACAATGAGGAGAACAGACACATCGTGAGTACATACCCGGGGCTGCAAGCATCCACCTCGAGTTCTGGTACTGCGCGGCTATAAGCCAAGAATTGAACCCCAGCTACAGATTTCCATCTGAGAGCAGAGTCTTGTTTATGGATCTGACCAAAGGCTCTCCCGTAAAGATTTGAGTAATATTAAATTTGGGTAATATTAAATATATGTACGTGGCCTAGGATACATTTTTATTATCTTTTTTTCCATTTGCATACTAAATATTATTTTGGAGGTGTTGAGATGAAGACTATCGATTAATTATAATGGGGCAATCACTATTCATCATACACCATTCTGCCACATAGCAGCCTCCCTTTCTTTAGGGACACAGCAAGAACTTTTCCACATAAAGGGAGAAGGTCAAGGCCTGATACTTCTATGGAGGAAATAAATTAACTACACTTCTGTTAAAAAATATATCTGTTTTGATAGCATTTCCTCACTTTGCACACAGGCGAAGATTCTGTCTTCACTTACACCTATTATTTTTCATTTCCAACCTATAGATATGCTGTTGTCGTTCTGTATCAGCATATGTTGTCATTGTTATATCAGCAATGAACACAGCCCAATTTTGTGTGCCTAGATGAACCACCTTCCTAGGTTTTCATGTGAAAAGTACAATCTCTTACTCAACTGCTCCAAGATTTCCTATTTGTTTGGGGAATTTTAGATGAGAATTAGCAGTAGTACTTTGATTTTTCAGGGACTGAGTTTACAAATGTCTTATCCCTAGCAGATAGGCAAACGATGTTGGAATCACGTTCTCATATGACTTTGATTTGTCACTCTGACCAGGTATGAAGTCTCAATATAAAAGCAATTATTAGATGGGGTTAGTACAAACTTTTATCTTATTAGAAAGTAAAGTACCTCATTCCACTGCTTTTCATCGCTTCTGTCCTGCCTGTTTGTGGTTGAACTATTGCTTTCTTCCATCCAAAATAGACAACATACTACTTCCATTCAACAGATACTGAGTTTCTAGAGTTTCTGGGAATGGGGTGAGCCAGAACCCTTGGGCTGTACTGCTGCCTCTTCCTAGATTTACACAAGTCACTATGACCAGCATTAGGTAAAATTAGTAAAATTTTGGTCTTTGCTGGGGCTGGATTATCCTGAAAGTAATGGCTTCAGAGAGAAGTTGTCACTCCCAGCTAAAAGGGATTTTTATTTTAACCAAAATTAGTATCACTTTGTTCTCCAACATGAAAAATGTAGTGAAGCTGGGTAATTCCAGCTACCCGCTTACCTTAGGTAGCTTTTTGAGAGCACAAAGTGAATCTGAAGGCTGCTCATGGGAGAATGAGATGTTACTGTAGGCCAGGCAAGGGTAGCTGCCGAGTGGTATCGGGTCTGCTTTGTCTGGAAGCTAGAGGGCACCCCAGGCTCTGCCTGCCTCCAGAGCCCTTGGAAAAAATCTCTCAGTGCATCAGTCAGCCCTTTCTCTGCATCATGGGCCTTGTTTATCACAGTTCTGTTATTCCCTCTGGTCCTACGTATTTTGAGCCGTGAATTCAGTGTTTCATAATAAGGGAAGAAAACTACAATACAGCAATAGAGAGGTAAGGCGCTTACCCAGCACACTGACAATCACAGACTTTTGACTCTGTCCGGCGTCACCCTGTGGGCTGAAAACTTCACAGGTGTAGGAACCAGTGTCTGAGGGCTGCATGTTGGAGATTGTTATTGATGCATTCCCTGGACTTGTTGCAGCTGTTATCCTGTTCTTAAACTCTCCATAGGAGTAAGACTGGCCTTCTGAATAATAATAGATCTATGATAAAGAATCAATTGTTAGTTTAATAACAAGATGTCTTACTGCCGCTTTGTTTAGTACTCGTAATTGGAATATAGATGATTTCTGATTAAGCCAAGCAATGTCACCCCCTTTCTTGCCCCCTCTCCCGAGAAAGCAGAGATGAAAACTTGGTACATTTGAATATATATTTCTAGTGGTTCTTAAAAGACAAGCTTTTCAGAAATGGGATTTTTTAATTGTGTAAATGGACAGTAGCTAGTTCTTTGTGGATACTCCAGTCACAGGCTGATGCATTTGCGAAAACAAAGGTGAGACCATTGACCATCATATGACAATTCTGTGAAAAAATGCTAAAAGTCATGCACAATGAATAGTGGTACTAATTGCAGCACTGATAATTTGTGACGTTATTAATAAGTAAGTGTCTCAGTAGAAGATTGTGACAAGAATGGACCTGTCATTGCAAAAAGTGGATGGCTGCAGAGCTTTCCAAATAAAGAAGCTAGCAAACAGAGAGCTGAAACGAATCCACAAGACATAGGTCTAAGCAAACAAGGCACCTGATCTGTTGGCGGTAAATTTGGAAGCTGTAAAAATGCAGTACAAGAACACCAGCAGAACCATCACACATGCAGTTAGAGCAACCATGCTGTTCTCCTTGTTTGTGTAATCAGGGTCAGAGCCAGTGTCACGGACTATCTTGTTTTTCTGAGTTTATACCATAGGTGGAAGGCAAGAATAGCTGTTGGCCCCAGTGCTTGGAGGGGCACCTATTTGGGATCAAGAGATTCCCCTTTGACTAAATAGTAAAAAAAGTTTTGCAGAATTATAGACATAGTAAGGATAAATGTCTCTAAGGAATGCAACATTTCCTCCCAACTAAAAATTTGCTGTTTAACATTGACTGATTTCCCTGACTTCAGCAGCATCAATTGTACTTAACAACACTGTGGGAGTAGAATTGGCCTCATAAGCTTGTAAGCCCAAACCTGTTGTCTGTTGGCTGAAAGGAGAAGTAGAATTGTGTTTGTTGTGGAGCCTTGTTGGTAGTCTGAGACTTGGGCCTTGAGTCTGTTTAGAAACTGCAGTGTCTCATCTGCTCTGGGGTAAATATAATAGTTCTCAAGGAGTACATGGGCTCTGTCCAGTCTAGCTCCGCTGTGAAACCAAGATCTGAAGGAATAAAGCTAATGTGGAAAACTATGGAATGTTAATTATTTTTCTCAGATGTTAATGATAGTGTTGTGTAAAAGTAATAGTATTTGGGATAGGCAGTATATTCCCTGGTGTCTACATTCACAAACTCCCTTGTCTAGGCAAAGTGAACAGTTCCAGCATACTCTGTCATTTTTTTTAAACTGATAAGAGGTAACCATATAGAATTACAGGTTGGGACCCAAATAGATCTAACATTGTTCCTACTGACAGTATTCCAGAGTCAGCAGTGTAAATGTATTTATTGAAGTTGGACTGACAGCATGTTTTTTAATGGGAATAGCTGGAAAATGCTTATAGGAAAAAGCTTCACAAACTCCTGTGAAATGCCATTCACACTTGACCAGTATCAAAATTTCCTTTTGGTCAAAGTTCCCTGCCTTTAAGGACGCTGCAGATCCCCAGGCAAGAAGTATACTTTGCTTTACTTTGCAGATCAACTGATATTTATTCTTAATTCTGTTTATCCACCCTGATACGGTGTTGACTGAAGTCTTTAAGCAACGTTATCTGAAAGCCTTTATTAGCTTAAGGCAAGCTACACCCCAAAACTGCCAGAGCACAGCTGCTTTATGTGATAAGGCTTTGAAATGAAGGTCAGAACCCAAACTGCACAGCACCAGCAGCTCCGGTACTGCAGCTTGGCCCCATCTCAAGTGCAATTTTGCCTGATTCCCAGCCAGACTTTATCTTTCCCTGCCCCAGGATTACAAACACCAGGTACAATTGATGCAGGGCCCTGAATACAAAAGCTACACTACTTCATTGCCGACATGTGGAAAACTGGTGTTGCAGTGAGGAAGCATAAGAGGTCCAGTGTTAGCACGGTGGCAGACTAGGTTAGAAAGCCTGCTGAAAGAGAGACTCTCCAGATTCCATTGTTTGCATGCAATGCCATCAGTTTGTAAACTGATTTTACGCTTTGCAAGTGTGTAGAGATGGACCTCTATTGCAAAACTAGAGTCTGGATGTACACCCTCGTATTCCCCAAGGAAGGAGAGTGTTCAAAATAGGGAGTTTGGTTTAAGCACGTCTCTCATCAAAAAACTGATCTACCTGTAATTACAAAACCACACTGGCCACACTTGTCTCATTCTACATTTATCCAAGTATCAGCAACAACAGAGTGTTATACTCTGTTCCTTGCAAGAGTCCGAAGTTACAAGAACTGTGACTTCTGACTTCATGCTTCTCTTAAGCTGACGTTCCTGTATAGATCTCAGCAGTGATGGGCTGGATTTGCATCTCCTCTCGATCGATTGCATCTGTTTGAGTGGGGTAGGGAAAGAGCCTCCATCAGCTCTTCGCACTAATGTGAAATTAAGTTGTAGGATGACTTAAATGAAGTAATGCGTGACTTGCAGCAGCATGAGAGGAGAGGCAGGCCCATTATATCCTACTAAAAGGCCTGATTACTGAAAAAAGGGGCTAAATTCTACTCGGTCTACCTCAGAGTGATCTGGGATTTATGGGAGAGTAAACCGTAGCAGAAGCTGCCCACTGAGTGCTAGCTTAGCTATAACACATGTTCTTGGGAAACAGGACTGGCACTACAACGAGTCTTAAATGCAGTTAGGGCACACCAGTAAAGATTATAGAGGAGCAAGCGCTCCTCGGTATATCTGGTCTGAAGTCAGAGTGAATTATGTGTCTAAGCCCTCATACACTGAAAAATTAATCCCCTGTGTTCTCTCTTCCAGCCTGAACGCATGCAGAGAAAATATTTTGTGTACGCTGTTAAATCTGAGGCAGGTGTCAACACAGCAGAGAATATTTGTTCTCTTCATGGATTTAAACAGAATCTTTCTGGGTTGGTTTTTTCAACTATGAACAGAAAGGCAGAGGAACATCTTCAGGAAATGCATTCACAGGCTCCTGCCTGTGCTCTGTTCTGCTCCTATATGACGCTTATCCCACTAGCTCTGGAGTTTATTGCCTGAAGGAAGGTGGTAAACACCAAAAAAGGCTGAGTAATGTTGTGATTAATTACTGAGCGTGTATCTTGTCCCAGAGGTATGATGGGATTGTGTACACAGGAAATTTCATTTAAGAGAAACATGTTTCAGTTAATTGGCTGTGAATTCATAGCCCGTTTTAAACAATACACTCAAAATGGGTATTTTAACCCCTTGTTCAAAGTGTTTTCATGCTGTCCTTGAAAAGCTCAGGTTTGTGCCTTGTGCTTGTGCTGAAATGAAAATCTTTGCAAAAGTGTTTCTATTCCGTTTCAAAAGTAAAAAACTTGTTTTCTATTGAAGATACAGAAGACTTTATTTTTGGGCAACTGACAGCTAATGTTCCCTCCTACAGACATACATCTCATTGACATTTCTTTCCATTTTACCTAAAATGTCCCTAAAATGCCTGTATGAGAAAACTGTAAATTTAGTCAATGATAGACTTTTCCTGGAAGCCTTTTTAATTTGATGTGATAAATATATTTAAAGTGCAACATCTTGAATGTAAAAAAATAGGAAAGAAATCTGCTGTGCTTCTCTTGAAAAAGTAAACTTTTTATGTCCTCAAGCAAATCACGAGCAGCTCTAGCGAAATCGATGATTTACCAGTGTAAAAACAATATTGAGGATGCAGTGATGGTCGCTGCTTCTCATTACCAGCTAGTTTGCTCATGCAAGTTTTTATATAATGGTGCCTTTTCACATTTCATGGGAGCAGCTGCCTGGGATGACTAATCAAACAACTGACAGAAAAAAGAGCGGAGATTATCACTCCTAAAAATGTTGTTCCTAATAACTCCACAATCTGAAAAAACAGTTTCTGCAAAATAGCTAAGTTACCCAGAAGACGTCTCCCTGACCTTAGAAAGGATTGCAGCTTAGTTGGTTATTCAGCCTGTGGGCCAGGCAGTGCCTAAAGCCGCTAATGGCAGCAGCCATCCTCCTCGGCCCTCTAAGGCCGTGGTATAGTTACTCTGCATTTCCACACTCACGGTTTCTGCTGCAACCAAGAAAAGGATTTGGGCTCACAGACTTCCAAGGCAGTTGAGTCAATTATTTGTGTACCTGTTTGGGGGAGCTGGGTTACAAACAGAACAGGGAATCGGGAATGATCATACTCGTTTGGAGGAAAATCTTGGTAATCTCAGTGCACTCCAGATGCTGGAGACAAGATTATTTGCGTCCCCAGTTCTGAAGGATCTGGTACATGAAATCACATGTCCTTATCTTCTCCTTTAGCCTAACTTGTGGGAAGGCTGCTCCTCTTCTAGTGTGATGGTGAGGAAAGTATTTGCCTGCAGAGGAAGCAGTTGGCAAAGCTGATGCTGAGTTGAGGATTTTCAAAGGCTGCCAGATGTTTGGCAGAGAGTGAGGAACCCACCTACAAGTTTTCTTTATACAACTTCTATAGAAAGATCTTCCTTAGGAGGTGGAGGTTGTGTGTGAAAAAGCAGTAAATTAGAAGAAGAAACATGCCTCCATATGCTTCCTTTCTTCTTGGGGCAGGACAAATACATACTAGAATTTGCATAAATGTGTGTCTTTCAAATGTCTTTGGATGGACTCATTCATAATTTCCAGGTCAATATTCCTCCCACCCTCCATCTCCTGGTGTCATTGCGTCACATTGCTGTACACGCCTAGTACATGGGGATATCAAAATTGGAAGATGAGATGTACTTGAAGATGTGTTACAGAATGTCCCACGGTAATCTTCATTTCCGACTGGGGCCAGTTTCAGGACATGACTTCCTTTCCAGTACCTGTCTTCCCTCCCCCAGCCCCTTCTCACTTTCCCCCGCCAGCAGATGCAAAGCTATAGCATCCTGTTCGATGAGGTTT